TGTGTACTTTTTAAAGAACATCTGAAGTAGAGTGACCATGCAGGAAGTTCTGAGAGCAGTCTTCATTTTGAATCTTTACTTTTTTGAGACAGGGTCTCACTATGTAGTCCTGGCTGGTCTGAACTTGCTATGTAAACCAGGCTGATCTCAAACCCAGGAGACCTGCCTGCCTCTGCCTCCTAAGTGCTGGGATTAAAGGCTTGGGATCCTGACTCTTCATTGTGAGGTATATGACTATAGATAAATTGCTTTTTGATCCTCAGTTCCCTCATCTGCTAATGGGAATGAAGTGCTTATGCTAATGCGTTAGTACATGGGTGTTAAGATGTGTACGGCCTAATTATGACTCATTCAGTGTACGGAAGTTCTAGTACCCATTCTTATGCACTATGATGAATTCCAAACTGAGTTCTCTCTCACTCGTTTTCTGGGTCTCACACATCATTGGCCTGCACATTACCTGTCAGTTTTTATCTTCGAGTGCTCTGCTAGGCACTGGTGCCTTGTCTCCCTTCTGACTCTCATGTCTCATACTTTTCTTTGCACTTTTTTTTGTGTCTATGTATGTGGTGTATGTTGTATATACACACAAGTGTATGTGTGGAGGTCGGAGGAGGACATTGTCTGTGTCACTCTGCATTATTTCCCTGAGATAGGGTCTCTCACTGAGGCTAGAGTTAGCAGGTTTGTTCTGCTCTGTCCCCAGCAAGGCTGGCAGCCAGCAAGACCCAACATTCCTCCTGTCTCTGTACCCCTCAGCACTGGGGGTACAGGCATGCATGGTTTTTACATGGCTGCTGGAATCTGAACTCAGTTCTTCATTCTTACATAGCAAATACTTGGATCTACTGAGCTATCTCCCAAGACCACATATTTAATTTTTTTTTTTTAAAGACAGGGTCTCATGTAGCTCAGGCTGGCCTCAAACTTGCTATGCAGCCAAGGATGATCTCCTGCCTCCACCTCCCGGGTGCTGCCAAGCTTGCTTTTACTCTGTAGATTTATTATTATTATTATTATTATTATTATTATTATTATTATTATATTATATGTGTGTGTTTATAATGTGTGTAGGGGTCAGAGGACAACATTGTGGAGCTGGTTCTCTTCCACCTTTATGAGGGTTCTGGGGCTCAAACCCAGCTTGCCAGGCTTGTGTGGTAAGCACCTGCACCCTTGGAGCCATCTCTCTAGTCCTCATTCTGTAACTTTAGTGCACCATGTGCATGCAATGTCCATGGAGCTCAGAAGAGGACATCAGATCCCCTGGAACTGGAGTTATGGATGGTTATCAGCCACCATGTGGGTGCTGGGAGTCAAACCTGGGTGTCTCTGCAAGAGCAGCCAGTGTTCTTAACTGTTGAGCCATCTCTCCAGTCCCACTCATTCTGTAACTTTAAATGGCAATTTTCTTTTCTTCTCCTACCCACACCCTAGAAAACTTTCTTTCCTGTTCATTAATGCCCATGGAGCAACTTTGAGGGACTAACTAATGTGCCCCACAAAGACCAGCATTAAACAAGGCTTTTTTATGTATATGGTGGTAAAAGGCCTGTAGCATCTCAGGCGTACTTAGTACACGCACAAATACTGTACAAATAGCCTTCCTACATGTTTGGTATTCTGGTGACATTCAGCTGCCAGGTAATCAATTCCCCTGCTAGTGGGAGGTCTCTCCTTAGCCCTGTGGCATTTGGCTCCACAAAAATCACTATTCTTTAGCTTTTCAAAAGAGCCAAGGTAAATCAGTAGCTCAGCCCATGACTTTCTGCTATTGAACAATGCAATTACTGAACAATTACTGAATATCTGATAATCTGAGAGAGACTTAGTTTGAATACTGAATAAAATAAAAAGTTACTGGATTGGCTTCTCTCTCTTTTTCGGTCTTCTGAATTTATTGATGGGAAATATTCTACACTCACTATTGTCTCCAGTTTTAAAAAACTTTATTTTTATTTTATGTGTTAACTGTTATGCTTGCATGTATGTAAGTGCACCCATGTCATACAGTGCCCACGGAGGACAGAAGAGGGCATCGGATCCCCTGGAACTGGAGTTACAGGTGGCAACTGCCTCCATGTGAGTGCTGGGATACGAACCCAGGTCTTCTGCAAGAACAGCTAGTGCTTGTAACTGCTGAGCTATCTCTTCAGCCCCATCATCTCCAGTTTAAAACAACATGGGACACCTAATGAATTTGTGTGTCACCTTGCAGGCCATACTAATCTCTACCATTCCAATTTCACTTTTCTGTCACTAAAGAGCTTGGCTTCCCTTTGAAAAACAAGACACCAAAAGGCTCTCCAGAAGAAAATGTTCACAATTAAAACAATGGAAACAGCACAGCTACCCCAAAGGAAAAGAGATTTTATTGGTCCAAAGAGCATTTGTTAAACACAAATATACAAAAAGTACTGTGTAGGTGTATACACACACACACACACACACCCACACAAAGCACACATGTATACCCACTATCTAACCTTCACAACAGCCTTCAGAAGTAATCACTTCTATTTGACAGTGGAGGACACAGGCGCTGAAAGTGAAGTGGATGGTCTGTGGCCACAAGGTAATCATAGTACATGACGGTGAAAACCGGGCCCAGATCCGGCTCAAAATCCAGAGCGCCTTTTACACGACCACAGTTATATTTACTCAAACAGCTGTATCCCTAATCAATAACAATAATATGATAGTAATAGCAACCACTGATACTTATCTAGCACTCTGAGGCAAGCAGTGGGATTTCATTTGACACCTGTAGTCACCCCATGAGCTAGGATTATCAAGAACTTCACTCTATAGATAGGGAAAACAAGTTTCTCAAAAGTTCAGTAACAGCATATTTTCTGCAGCTGGTATAGAGGAGGCCAGAGTTTGAAAGGTGATCTAATTCCAGAACCCAGTCTCTTAATCTTCCACTAGACTGCAGGAAGTTCAACTCCAGTCCTGGCTCTAACCAGCCAAGTCATTTAACAGTTCAGTTTCATTCCCTGTTAATGAAGTGGGGCTATTGTTACCTCACACTATGTAGTCCACAGAGACTGGGACTATACTAAAGGCAAAAGTTTAAGAAGGGAAACTGTTACATAAACCCAGGTGTTATCACAGGTTTCACTCAGATCTTCTCTATCACAGGATCATAAAGAAATTTAGCTGACATCATAACTCTCATGCCTCCTCTGAAGTGGCTGGGAAGTATTATCTCTACTTCTCAAAGATTGAAGCACAGGGGATGATGTCATTTGCTAGCTGGTGGCAAACCTGGGAATAAAACCCAAGACTTCTAACTCCCACTGCTTATGCCCTCATGGTAAATTCTATTTTTGTATTTCAAAGTTAATTGTAAAACAGACAAGTGTAGAAACATTAGTTTCTACTTCAAAGCAGAGATTAAACACTTACAGAAATTAAATTTTCTACTGCAGTGATGCTAATGTAATCGCTAAGGTTCTTAATCCTCATAGTCTAGACACTCAAAAAAAATTTCCATTTCTTTCTAACAGACTTCAGCTCTTTAGTTTGCTCAATCAATCTGTGACTAACTAAAGGTTACAAAGCTGAGTGAATTATTGCCTAGTTGCAACTGGTGAGTTTGTCACCTTCCTCAAGGAACATAAAACCTCCATGTTAAATTGTTCCCCATACGATTGGAAATAAAGAATTATCAAGCATATTCTCACATCATACATACCCAATTGGGCTATATGATTTAGTTTGCAAGTTATTCTAACATACTAAGTCATCATATCCTGAGCTCAAGACTCAAGTTTCAAAGCTTACAGCATAATTTAAATAAGTACTCTGTACACCAGAACCATCATAAGTCCTTCTTCTGTATAGAGTCCAAATAATAGTTTTGTGCTTCCCACCCAAGACTGCAACAGATATAAGAAACCGTGAAGTAAAATAAAAAGTCGCGATGGGGGCGCCTGGGGAGATGGCTCAGTCAGTAAAGTGCTTGCTTGGTAAACATGAGGATCTGGTTTCAATCACCAGCACCCAAGTAAAAAGCCAGTCACAGCAACGAAAGCCTGTAAGCCTAACACCCAGCACAGGGGAAGTGGAAACCGGAGGATCCTGGGGGGCTGTTGGGAAATCAGTGAGCTGCAGGCACAAAAAGAAAAGGAGCAGAGCATGGTGGTGCATGCCTGTGATCCCTACCCGAGGTTCTGAGTTTGGATCTCTAACTCCGCCATAAAAAGCTAATCACCATCTCTCAGCAGTATTTCTTGATACAGCACGGCATGTGAACTTAATGAACTCTCAGTGGTTGTGACAGCATGCACAGGATTGCACAAGCTCAAGGCAGACAAAATCCCAGCATGGAGGGGGTGGGGTGGTGGATGGGGACAAAAGTCCCATTCAAGTTAGATGGGTAGGGAGGTAGGGATGGATCTGGGAGATGAGGGGGTGGATATGATTAGATACATTGTATGAAATTCTTAAAGAATAAAAATAATGTTTTTTAAAAAAGCCAGTCACACCGAGTGTGGTGGTTCACACCTTTAATCCCAGCACTCGGGAGGCAGAGGCAGGTGGATCTCTGTGAGTTCAAGGCCAGCCTGGTCTACATAGCAAGTTCCAGGCCAGGTGGGGCTACAGGGAGACCCTGTCTCAAAAATGACCGAAAAAAAAAAAAAGCTAGTCACCCTGGGCACAGTGTCACACACCTTTAATGTCAGTACTTAGGAGCCAGAGGCCAGTTGATCTGTGTAAGTTTGAGGCTAGCCTGGTCTACACAGGGAATTCCAGACTAGCCAGGACTAACAACGAGACCCTGTCTCAAACGAACAAACAGACAACCAAACAAACACAAACAAAAAAAAACAAAATAAGGCAGAAAAGAGATTGAGGAAGACACCCAATGTCAACACTTGGCCACACGAAAATGCACACAAGTGTATATATGCATGTGTACCTGTCCCCAAAACACATACACAGGAAAGTAGTAATGGGACCAATTCTGTCTTCAATAGGAAACAAGTATTCAATCTAGATCCTCCTAGTTCTTATTTTCTAGCCTTCAATTATTACCAGTTTAATAATTACATGCTTTAAAATTACCACAGGGACTAAGGAGAAGAAACACGGGAGAAAGGAATTTCCTCTCTGAGTCTGAAGTGCACAGAGTTGTCATTACTTCTCTGACTGAATCACAGGCTTACAAACAAAATATGTGTTGATTTTTAGAGGAACAAAAACCAAATCACGAGAACAAAAGTTATTCAAATAAGAACAGATGCTATACTTGATCTCTTCCAAAGAGCTGAGATGTGATAAAGAATTATTCTATATGAAGAATTATTATTTGACTGTGAATTTTCTTGGTGGGTGGGTGGTCTGAATCTGTTCCTTCCTTATGTGCTCTGAGTGGAAACTGAACAACGAATGACACAGGATTCCTAGATTTTTTTCTGAGGCTGTCTTTCTACAGTAATTTAACTTTCCTTTGAGAGACATAATCACCTTGGTTTCTGTAAGTGAAGCCAATTCCAGTTTCTGTTGAGCCAGGGCCCTCAGGATCTCTTGCTCTCACTTCATTATAGACAGGAATCACCTGGGGGCTTGCTAAACTATAAACTCTGATTCAGAAGGCCTGGGCTTCGAGCCTGACACAGCTCAGCTGATGTCAACACAGCTGTTTGATGGATCACACTCTTGAGTAGTAGGACTCTAGGGAATGTTTCCAAATAGAAATAACCTGCACCAGATGTTTCTCAAGACATACAGCTTCCAAAGACCCAACAAAGGAGAATATTCCGGAGCTTACCCAAGGTGTCTGCTTCCCAACCAATTTTTGTGATTTTTTTTTTTTTTTTTCTTTTCTAACCATCTGGTCACACACCCAATGTCAGATCTTAATTAAGAGCAACTTTCAAGAACATTTTTTTGGGTGCTGACAATTTATTGAAGCTTGTCTGACTGGAGCTTGCATGGATGGACAAAAACTTTTGTAATAAAAGACTTGATCCAAAATAAATATGTACTTTTCAAAACTATGTCAAACACTAACAAGTAAGCGGCATTTACAAATAGCTTGTAAGAAAATCATTTGGGATTAATCATTTTCATTTCCCCCACAAAATAAATAGTTCAGTTAACTATCTTTAAGCAGGAGGAAAAAGTCAAACAGAAAGTCATGCCCAAGGCACAGTCATGATGCTATTTTTAATGAGAAAAATACCGAGATTAAGACACATAAACGTATCTGAGGAGACTGACTGGATAGAACCTAGAAGGGAGTTTACGGAAAGAGAACAGTTGGTGAGGTTGAGAGAAATTCTAGATGGAAAGTCTACTCTCCTTGAGAAAAATCAATAACCCCCCACAAACTTCCATTTTTAGGTTTTCAGTTTTTGTATTCATCTAACCTCCACCCCCAAATCCAACCAGACATCACAAAAATTAAGGTGGCAACAGGCCCCAGTGGCTACACTTCCTATTTGCCTTCCATGCTTTTCAGCCAATGCCAGTAATGTTTGTGGTGGAAGGAGCCAGACTGAAAGGAGTATCACCTCTCTTAGCTCGGCAGCATCTCCATCAGCATCTTCATCCCACACTTTCCCTGCACAGGCCTCAGGGCTTCTGTGCGCTCTTCAGCCCCATTACAGTGAAGGTAGCAGCTGTCAATTTCTCATAGACAAGGAACATGAGGGCAGCTGTGAGCACTGTCTGGAGCAGCTTGGCTTCAAGGCCTTTGTAGAGTCCCATTATTCCAAAGCGTCTAAAAGGAAACAGGTTGGGAAAAAATAGATTTTCTTTGTAGAAATCAGATGTTGTATCAGAGAAATCTGAGGTGAAATAGCTTCTCCTTGAAAGCTTTTTTTCCTTTGGATCAAAACAAGCAATGGAGGTTTTCGACTGCAACAGAGATTTCTACTGTAGAAGTACTGCTTAGCTTTAAGGGCATTTGGGGACTGATAAAACTCAGTACTCATGGGCCATCAATATTTTGTCTTTATAGTGGTCATTAATTAGTGGAATTCTGGCACTATCTCATTAATAGGATGCAGATCCTGAAATCGTCTAAACCATGTTAATGCCAAAACGTGAGATCTAACTAAGAGCTTTTAAATTTAATGGTCTCTCAACTCAGTTATTTCAACGCAACCCCTAAGCAGTAGGAAATCAGTTAATTGGCTTAGATCAGTTTAACCTCAATAGAACTAGGGAAAGGCACAGACATGAAAAGCTGTCTGATTTTCAGACTTCCCATAAATTCAGTCGCCTGGTTCAGCCAAATTTCAGCATAAGTCACCCAAAAAGCTTATTAAAGTACAGATTTGCTGGGGCTGGAGAGATGGCTCAGCGATTAAGAACACTGAATGCTCTTGCAGAAGACCCAGGTTCGAATCCCAGCACCCACATGGCAGCTAACAACTGCCCATAACTCCAGTTCCAGGGGATCTGACAGCCTCTTCTGTCCTCCGCAGGCATTGCACGACATGGGTGCACTTACCTACATGCAGGCAATATACACATACACATTAAAAAAAAATTAAAATAATAAATAAAATTTAAAAAATACAGATTTGCTGGCCCCACTCCCATAGTTTCTGATCATTAAGTTTGGGATAGGAACTCACTCAAAAATTTTCATGTCCAATAAGCTCCCAGGTGATAAGGAAGAGGATTCAGGCCTGGGGACCAGTCCTTAAGAATGCCTCAGAGAACACTTTGGCTAGAACCCGAAATCAAAGCAAACCATCTCTCCAAAGCTATCTGTTAAAGTGAATTAATCTGTGCAACATTCTGCTAGTTCACCAGCAACTCTAGCATGTGGATTTCGAGATGGAAACTAATCAAGTGTCAATCAACCCATTTTCGTACTTGCTGTGTGAAAATCTACTGGTGAAATCTGTTAGGGGATGTGATAAGTGACTCATGAATTTCTAGCTCACTGACAACCTCTGTGCTCTTCAGGATGACGTCCCTGAGGATGGAAATCCTAGGGCTGTGAGATCTGTAGACTGTAGACCCACCCCAGACAGGAGGCACATTTCTGAATTGTAATAAACATTTCAGTTGATTTTTTTTTAAGATAGAGTCTTACACAGCCCAGGCTGATCTCAAACTTTTTATGTAGCCAAGTTGCTTTTGAACTCACAGGTCTTTCATCTCCACAGGTGTGCTCACCACACTTGGTTTCAGGTGATTTTTTGTGTGTGTGTGTGCGTGCATGTGCATGCATACTTGTACACCTCTGTACACGTGCCAGAGGCTGACTTCAGTATCATCCTCTATCACTTTCTACCTTATTTTTTGAGACAAAGTCTCTCATTGATCCTAGACCTTACTGTTTTGGCTAAGATGACTGGCCAAGTAAACCCCAGGATCTACCTGTTCCCACCCCACAGGCCTGGGGTTACAGGCACACACTGCCACACCTGGATCTCCATATGGATGCTGGACTCAGGTCCTCATGCTTGCACAGCAAGCACTTCAAATGATTCTTTTTGCTTTGCTTTGAGACAGGTCTATGTAGTCCTGGCCACCTGGAACTCAAGCTGGCCTTGAACTCATAGAGATCCACCTGCCTCTGCCTCCCAAGTGCTGGGATTAAAAGTGTACACCACCACACACTCTGCTTTCTTCAAAGAAAATGTACAATTACTATAGTTTTTACCTCATAGAACTATTGTTAGTGAGATTACTCACATTATAGCTTCTAGCTCAAAGTCTGTTGTGTAGCTATTCTAAGCCATCATCATCAAGATGGTCATTACTGTGCCCTGACTCCTTCTCAGAGACTACTCTATAGCAGATGCCATATTCCTAAGAGAAGATACAGGATGTGCCACAGACAGAAGCCCAACAACCTCTATGCTAGAGGACAGGGAGCTCTTTCTCATCTTTTTTTTTTTTCTTGGTTCTAGGGTTGAACCTAGGGCCATACACACATTAAGCACAGGCTCTTCCACTGAGCTACACCCCAGGCCTGGAGGGTTCCCTTCCTAACAGAGTTCTTTGTAGTAGAAACCAGGAAAGAATAAGGACCTGAACTTTCCATGACTTCCCAAACTGCTGTCAAATCACACTAGTCTCATAAACAGAAAAAGCTGAACAGGAGAGGCAAGTTTCTGAGGCTGCGGCTGCCATAACAATGTAAGAGCAGCTTATCCGACCACACCAGGCAGAGGAAGCTGTGGAAAGGGAGGACAGAATGGGGAGCACCGACAGAGCTCACTTGACTCGCTGATGAAGAAGATAGAGAACATTCCGAAGACTCCCCAGGGTTCTGTTTTCTGGATTGAGTCTGTGACGTCCAAACTGGGGAGGGAAGGAGGAAAAAAGGAGAATTACTCTTTATCACTGTTCTCTTCATCTTATATTGTGTGTGTGCACGCACGCGTGTGCAAGTGCACAAGTGTGCACATGTGAGTGCATGTGGCCAGAGTCTAGAAGAGAGGGTCAGATCTCCAGGAGCTGGAGCTAAGGTGGCTGTGAGCCAGCAGACATGGATGCTGAGAACTGAGCTCAGGTCTTCTCCAAGAGCAGTATGCATTCTTAACTGCTGCGCCATCTCTCCAGTCCCTCTTTATCTTAATTTCTACTTAGAGAGGAAATCACACAGAAGAAATGTCTTATAGCAAAAAATAAAAATATCCAATTAGCACCACAGATTTCATTAATCCCATTCTTCAATTAAATAAACAAAAATAAGAAATATTTTTCAATAAAGCAAGCATGTATTTTTCTCTTTGCTTATTTTTTCATGCTGGGGATTGAATTCAAAGTGTTGAAAATGCTAAGTAGACACTTACCAGTGAATTATGTCCTCAGCTTCAAGAATTTTCGTGTTTAGGGGCTGGAGAGATGGCTCACCGGTTAAGAACACTGGCTGCTTTTGCAAAGGCTCTGGGCTCAGTTCCCAGCACCCACATGGCAGCTAACAAGTCCAGTTCTAGGGGGATCCAACGCCCTCTTCTGGCCTCCATGGGCACTGCATGCACAAGTGCACTTAGATGCAGGCAAACACTTATACACATAAAATAAAAATAAATAAAGCTAAAGCAAAACACAAACAAAAACAAGCCAAGCCCAGGATGATGACTCAGCCATCGATGGTAGAGTTTAATAACTTCCAGTTCTTTAAGGAGTTCTGGGGCTGGAGAGACGGCTCAGCAGTTAAGAACACTCAACACTTCTGGTTGTTCTTGCAGAAGACCCGGGTTTGAATCCCAGAACCCACATGGCAGCTAACTGTCCGTAACTCCAGTCCCAGGGGATCCAACAGCCTCTTCTGTCTTCCACAGGCATTGCACAACATGGGTGCACTTACCTACATGCAGGCAATACACGCATACACATAAAAATAATAAAACATTTTAAAAAAATTTCTGATAAACCCTGATCAGTTAGAACCTATGCAGTCTATACTCTTCAAATTACCTATCACGAATGTGTTAAGAACATTTCTGAGAATGCTAGTGAAATCCTATTAAGAACCAATGTAAAAATACCACATTAGCAAAAATACCAGAAAGTAGCATTTTTTTTAAATGGAAATACTCTCACTAGCACATTCATTTTATCTAACAATAAATCCTTCAAAATTTTTCTCTGGAATAGATATTTTTATTTTTTGTAGTGCTGGTACTTGAACCCAGGACCTTATACATGCTAGATAAATGCTGTACCAGAGTTACACCCTAGCCCCAGAACAGATCTTAAATCTGTCCACATCCTCTTTTCTGCTGCTGCTACCCTGTCCACTGTGCCCTTGCCTGTATTATTAAAACAGCCTTCTTCCTGACCGGCTCCCTTTCTCTTAAGTGTGTGTGTGTGTGTGTGTGTGTGTGTGTGTGTGTGTGTGTGTGTGTGTGTGTGTTTTATACATATGTATGCAGCACATGCATGGACATGTTGGTGCGTGCATATAGAGATGAGAGCAAGCTGTAGGCTGTCTCCTCTATTCTCAAGATCTGCCTGTCTCTGCTCCCTAGTGCTGGGGTTACAAGCATGCATAGCCATGCCTGGCTTTTTATCCAGGTGCTGGGGATTTGAACTCATCTTTATGCTTGCAAGCAAACCCTCTTACCCACTGGGCAATTTCCCCAGCCCCTCCATTTTAGTTTTGGTCACTCTGCTATAGAATAGCCCCAGTGGGTCTTTCAGAATTGTACATCAGATCACGTTACTGCCTCACGCAGAGGTTTCCTTCTGGGCTGACAACACACATTTCCCACCTATTCCACCTCCAGCTTCCCTGAAATTTGGGGCAAGCCACTCCTAGGCACAGAGGTCTCCTTTCAGGTCCTGGGGTGAAGCAAGATCTTGGCACACCTTGCTCCCTATTCTGGAACGTACCTTCCTCTACTCTCTGTATGGCTCAGTCCTTATCCTCCCCATGCATTGTGATTTCAATATTCTTCCTCACTGGGGCCCACATCCAGTCCAGCCACCTAGGTGGAACCCTGAGAACCACACTGCTCCTCTTTCAGAGGTCAGGGCTGGTCATCTCCTTAACGGTGCCATTCCCAGCTTGTAATTACCTGTTTATTTCACCTGATGGCTCTATGAGAACAAGGATCATGACTGTTTTAGGCACCACTGTATACCCCACTTCTCACACAGAGTAAGTGCCTAAAAGGACAAGGATCATGACTGTCTTAGGCACCACTGTATACTCCACTTCTCACACAGAATAAGTGCCTAAAGGGACAAGGATCATGACTGTCTTAGGCACCACTGTATACACCACTTCTCACACAGAGTAAGTGCCTACAAATATTTGAATGGATAAACAACCTAAAGTATGAAAAAAATGAAATTTGAAGGTGCTTTGAGACAGGTGGTGGTATGTATTTAATTCTAGCACCGGGGCAGCAGAAGCAAGTAGATCTTTGTGAGTTCAAGGGCAACCTGGTCTACATAGTGAGTTCCAGGCCAGCCAAGATTACCCAATGAAACCCTGTCTCA